TCTTGTGTGAACCCAGTTAAAGGAGTCTGGGGAATGAATTTGAAGCAATGTATGTTTTAGGGATTTTTACATATAGTACTAAGTACAGGTAGTCTTCGATTTACAACTATTAGTTTAGTGACTGAAGTTACAATGGCCCTGAAAAAAAGTGACTTATGACTGTTTTTCACACTTACAACCATTGCAGCATCCCCATGGTCATGTGATCAAAATCCGGATCAAAATTCGGCAACTGACTCATATTTATGATGGTTGCAGTGTTCTGGGGTCACGTGATCACCTTTTGCGACCTTCTGATAAGCAAAGTCAATAAGGAAGTCATATTCACTCAACAACAGTATTACTAACTTAACTGCAGTGATTCACTTAACTGTGGCAAGAAAGCTCATAAAATGGGGCAAAATTGACTTAACAACTGTCTTGTTTAGCAATGGAAATTTTGGGCTCAATTATGACCATGAGTCAAGACTACCTATATGCCTTTTTGCAAAGGTTATTAATATGTGGCATCATGCACTAAAATGAATAGATTTTTAAATTTTTTACAATAATTTAAATATGAGTTTATTTGTGTGCACACATTCACATAATTTGGCAATGTGTTAAATATATTTCTTAATGACAAACATTTAAACGTACAGTTATTATATAGAGATAGTTTTTCATACTTTCAACATTCTGGCATTTCTGTTTATGCTTTTTAAATCAGATACAGTAGTGACAGTCTGCACTGATATAATCTTTGATGAGAAGATTAATAATAACTCTGATTCTGCTGTGTCTAGAAATAAATCATGCTATTAAAACTCCACCCATTATTTCTAGGAAACAGTGTTTTGATCCTTTTTTCTTTGATGCTACGGAGTAATTCAGATTTCAGATCTAATAAATAACTTATTACATGGAAAATTTAGATGGAAGGTAGGATTTATACTTTGGATCAAATAGTAGGTGAAAATGTTATTTTTTATCCTTTTCCACTATAAAGGACAAATATTATTTGCCTGGTATGGCACAGTATAGTAATTGTACATCTACTACAACTAATTCTTGATTTATAACAATTCATTTAGTGACCATTTGAAGTTACAATGGCACTGAAAAAAGTGATTTATGACTATTTTTCACACTTATGACCATTGCAGCATCCCCATGGTCACGTGATTTACATTCAGACACTTGACAACTAGTTCATATTTATGACGGTTGCAGTGTCCTGGGGTCACGAGATCCCCTTTTGCGACCTTCTGACAAGCAAAATCAATTGGGAAGCCAGAATCACTTAACAACCATGTTACTAATTTAACCACCGCAGTGATTCACTTACCAACTGGCAAGAAAAGTCATAAAATGGGGCAAAACGTACTTAACAAATTTCTCACTTAGCAACATAAATTCTGGGCTCCTTTGTGATGGTAAGTTGAGGACTATCTGATATTGCTATCCCAGTTTGGACATGTCATTTTCAACCTCAGAAACATCTAATCTACCTCAATTGATGATGAAATCCAATGGTACAACATTTCGTACAAATTACTCTTTATAAAATTCTGTTGGCATCCAATCATTTTAGTATGAAAAGTTTAATGGCAAAATGGAATAGAGAGTTAGATTCTGTTTTGTCTAGACTCTAGACAATGAGAACAGTTAATTTTAATAGCAAGAATTGAAGAAGATCTTAGAATGTGTCTTACTTAACAAAAATAGTGTTTTGAATTTATTGGGCACTGCCTATGTAGAAAAGACACATGAAAAGTGTTCTTTGAAGATGCAGTGAAATTGATGTTTCTTTTAAACATCTTGATAGTGTACTATTAGAGTTCCATTTTGGGAGGAAGTTATTACATATATAACCTTTGAAACAAGGTTTAGCATTTTCACATGTTTAGATTTTACTGCATGAAAACTGACATCTGAACAAAAAAAAAAAGTGGATTCTCCATGCTGAATTCATAGATAAAACAATTATTCTTCAGCCCAAGAAAGACATGAACCCAAGTACACAATGGATTGTAGAGTCAATGTCATTCATACGTGTTTGAGTTGCCGTTTGGGGGAAAATAGGGACTATTATGTTCATTTGCGGCCTTGAGTTAATTATAAAGTAATAAAGACAGGATAAAAAAAAAATCTAAGAAAGAAATAAAGAGTGTAATTAAATATGGCTAGGACTTTTTATGTAGTTCAGGAATACGTGCTCCATTTTTTTTTTATTTGTCTGGTTTTTGTTTTTCTTGCTTTTTTCTTTCTAACTTTATGGGACTGTTTGCTTTTCTTCCTCTTTTTTGGGGGGGGAGGGGAGGGGGTGGAAGGTATCCAATCAATACAAGCAAAATAAATAAATAAATAATGCAATCCACCGCTCCAAACTGCGGGAGAGGGAGTTCAAGGCTGCCTTGCCCCTCCGACGTTTTCCCCTCTTGTTTGCTCTTCCACGGGTTTCCATTCTATCGCTATTGCTCCCGACGCACCTTTGAAGATGGTGATCTTGGCGGATCGGAGCGGCGACGCGGTGAGGGGGAAGGGGAAAAAAAGAAGAAGAAGAAAAAAAAAAAAACCCACCCAAGATTACGGCTATCGCCCGCCTGCCTGCCTGCCTGCCTTTCCCAGAGTCTGAGACATAAAAGCGAAGGGAAGAAAAGCCACTCCGGCGGCGGCGGCAGCAGCAGCAGCAGCAACAGCGGCAGCAGCAGCAGTTTCCCCTTTCCCCAGCCCTGACTCTACGGGCGCATGCTCACTTGCGCCCGCAGCCCTGGACCATATTTGTCAGGACTACTCGAGAGACGGAGAAAAAAAATAAAGAGAGAGAGAGAGAGGATTTGGGGGGGTAAGGAAGCGGCTGGTTCGGATCCGATTGCTAACCCATTAACTGCAATTGCACAATGCTCAGGATGGCTTTAAAAAATTGCTTCCGTTCCTTCGCTGGGGATGAAAGTTGAGAGAGAGAGAGAGAGGGAGAAGGAGATAAAGGAAGGCAAGCGCACCTCCTCTACCTCCCTCATGAAACGGGCGGGTTTTTTTTTTTTAATTCTTATTCTTATTTAAGGAATTGGGAGGGAAGGCTCCCCTCCCTTCCACACACCAAGCGAAGGAAATGGAAGTAATCTGGGGAAAGTGGCCAGATGACTCTGAAGTGGCCGAGGAGTGGGTGGGTGGGTCGCGGGGAGGGGGGGGGGAAATCTTTCCTAAAATCCTAAGTGCGTGAGAGTGAAAGAGGAACAAAAGAGCGAGCGAAGGAAGAGGGTGCCTTCGCCTTCTGCGCCCCCCCCTCCTCCTTCCCCGCCCGGGCTCTGCTTTTTCCCCCGCCCGAATTCTTGACGGGCATCGGGAGCGGAAGGGGGCAGAAGTGGCCGGGAAATAAGGAATCGGGCAATCCACACTCGCCCACATATTGATGTTGGAGGGTTGTAGGGGTGGGTGAGCGATTTGCGGCGTCCTGCCCTACCGCTGGTGAGCCGGGGCCAGGGAATTCTTGACACTTCCCCAGGAATGCCGGGGAGGGGGGGGAGGGAAAAAAAAGGGGGTGCCGCCACAAAGATTTGGGGTGTCGGGCGAGAGGGGACGGACGGGGATCCTGCATCCCAGCGCTCACTCTGTTTTGTTTCAGGGGATCCCTCGGGAGAGAGAGAGAGAGGATAATGGCTTGGGAAGGAAGCACCCAGGTTCGGCTTGCCCGTGGGATATACCGGTTGAATGTGTAGCATGTGTTGTGTCTCCTTTTGCAGAAGGGAGGGAAGGGGGAGGGAGGGAGGAGAGAAAAAAAAAAAAGGCCTGTTCCGATCAGCGCGTAGCAGCCGCCGCCGCCGCCGCCGCCGCCGCCAGCTTCGGAAGGGAGGATTTGTCCGCGAATTAAGGGGTAATTTCGCTTCCTTGTCTCCCTTGTGCAGCTTATGGACTTTGTGGCGTTGGGAGTGCGCGCGTGGCGGTGCACCCGTGTGCGCGTGTCTCGGGCTATAGAAATATAATACCGAGCTCCCCAATTCCGCCATTTTGGGCAAACTTTGCACACGCACGCACACACCACACGCGCAGAGAGAGAGAGAGAGAGAGAGAGACGCGCCTAGCAGTTTGTAGTGAGAGGGAGGCGCGCGCGGGAGCGCGCGCGCGGAGCGGGCGTGTGGGGGGGGGGAGAGAAAGCCTCTTGATTCCTGTGCATGTCTTTCGCTAAGTGTAAACATGTGTATATGTGTGTGTGGTGGGGAGCGGGGCTCTTCCCGAGGGAGAAGAGTGCAATTCGAAGGTTGTCAGCAAACACACACACACACACACACACACACAAACCCGGCCGGTGAAAGATACGGCGGATCGCTGCGTAATTTTCGAGGCAGCGGGAAGATGCCTCGTGTGAATTCCGCTTTGCCACTCGCACCTGGGTGCCCCTCGCGCTCTCCAACTTTGCTTGCTCGCCTCGCCTTTAAAAGCGTCTGCGCTTCCTGGGAAGCCTATGAATGAAGCGGGAGCCGGAGACTCGCGTTGCACACTTGTTCGCCGCTCGTTGCGGGGGTGAGTGGGTGGGTGGGTGGCTTTCCTTCTGAAGCTCGCTGCGAGGGTTTGAGAGAACCCGGGCCCGATGTGGGGCGCGCAAGGATAAGAGAAAATAACAGAAATGCGTGCGTCTTTATGCGTGGGCGCTCCTGCGGCCCCTTCTGTTTTCTTCCTAGTCGCTTATATGGCAAGAGGAGGGAGGAGGGTGACGGGAAAAGTTTGAAAGGAGTCAGCGGTCCCCAGAGGGAAGACCCCTCTGTCCGCCCTCTTTTCCCGGCCTCAGGTTTGAGGCCAGGCTAAGGAGACCGGGGAGTGCGAGCCGTCTCCCGGAGGGGGAATTTGGAGTCCGCCCAGGAGAAGCCTGTATCAAGTGAGGGGGGGGGAGAGAAAAAAGCCTTGACCCCCTTTTTTCTCCTTGGAGTCGAAGAGGGACCTGGGTTCCCCCACTCCCCAGGATGTGGGGAACGTGGAAGGGTGTTTCCAAAATGAGGAGGGGACAAAGGGCTTCTTGAGCTTGCTCTCGGCAGCCTCCCCTTCCCGGTTTCCGTCGCAGCCGCCGTAAGAAAAACGGGACTCGATTAACAAACAAGAGCCTTTCATTATGCAACTTCCTCAGTCCAGCGCCCGGTTTCTCTTCTCTCACTCCTGCCCCGCATACACCTTTTGCTCCCCCCCACTTTTCGCCCGCCGTGCAACAATCGAGCCTCCCTTTCGGGCATTTCCCTGAAGATGGGAAGGAGGCCGATCGTAAAAAGTTATTTCGGGCGTCCCAGGGCGAGCTGATCCGAGCTACTTTTCATTTCTAAGGAGAGGGAGGGAAGGAAGACAGATCCCGCTGCAGCCTGAAGGTAGGCTTGCGCGGGTGTGGGTGGGTGGTGGTGGAGGAAGACACTTGGGGAAGATGCAGGCAAAAGACGACTCTTTTTCGACTTTCCCCCTCCCCCCGCCGCTCTTAATTTTAGAAAAAGTCGGGGTGGGGGGAGGATCTGACGGGCTGATCGCAATATTTCTTTAGGAAAGTTTCAAGTGCAGCAAAAATGTAGTTCAAAACTGGCCAAGGAGGGACCCCTACTGGTCAGACGTAGGCATTCACCTTGGGGAGCAAAGTTCAAATTTAATCCTCAAGTTTTTACAGACTGTTTTTTTCGCTGGGTATGAACCGCCAGAGAACTAGGCAAACAGTTTGAAAAGCATGTCTTTATCTTCTCTTCCTAACTCTTGTTTCCACAGTTTCTGTTTTGTATTTCAAGTATTAAAAGTAAGGAAGAGTGATTGCTATTTAAGAACTTGCAACTGCTAAAGGCTTAACAGGTAAATTTATTTTGCAGTTAGATACAATTGTAGCTACCAGCTTCTATTCTCTATTTAGGTTCCTTGTTAGTACTGGTCAATTTCACCCTTGTTTCTAATGCTAATAGTGATAGAAGACACCCCTAAAACAGTTTTGTTTTGTTCATTAATATAAATTTAGGCAATATTATGAGATGCTCATTGCAAATGCACAAAGTTATTTATCAATTGAAATTTAGATTTCCTTATAAAAGTTGGAAGTACGGTAAAAGTTATGTCTTCTGTATAGTTTGAAAGTGGCATTGGTAGAAATGCTGAAACTAAAAGCTGGTTTGGCAAAAAGCTTAGGCAATGAAATTCTGTAAGGTAGAAAATTAAAAAATTGATGGAATATTTGTGACAAATCTAATCGTGTGGATTGTAACTCTTTAAAAGGCCTATTCTATGGATATAATGCGAAGAACCTGTTCTCAGGCCATTTCCCTAGTAACTTAGTACCTTCAAGCACCATTCCAGCTATCTTTGACATAATATAAAGCCTGTTTATACTGAGGATACTGACTTTACTCAACTAGTTGATTAAAGCTAGCTGTTTAGATGGTGTTGAAATGAAGAAATTTTGTGAGATTGTTGTAAAATGCCAGAATCATAAAAAACATTTAGTCTCTGTTCTTCCTATAATATTATTCACCATCCTTCCAGTTGTTCATTTTACTAAACAGAGTTTGTTTCATTCTATTTGGGCATTTCCAGTAATTGTACATGTGAAAAATCTGATGGGATAGTGGAAAATGGGGCCACTGAATGAATATTCCCAGGAGATGGCACTACAGACCTGCTGCTTGCCCCTTGGCCATTATGGGATTCTGGCCTTTATGCTTTTAGCATCTTTTTAAAGCTGATTTAGGAGGTCACTTGGTTCATGTCACTATAGCTGATCATGCCTAGGTCTAGTCTTCTTTCAACCAATGCTCTGTTGACCACTGAAATCTTGAAAATGCTAAATGGACTATTGAAGATGAGTTCAGGTGAGACTATTATTTCCATTGATAGACCAAAAAGAGATTGAAGGAACATTTTGCTTTAGTTGGAAAGGTTCTACGTAGTTCATGCTTTGGGAAGGAAGGAATGATTGTTGTGTCTACCAATGCCATGGTTGGTGCAGAAGTTGAAGAAGAAAATTGAGGCTGACAAGGGTTGATTTTAGCAATATAGGGGTCCATGGCACAATACTGTAATCTTTTGTGACGCTGCGGTTGATGAGTTACATAAAGTGCAGTTACTATCAATATATAATTCCTATTGCAACCAATTATATGAACATGACTAGTTTAAATTTTGCTTCATATTCTATTGTATATTTCATTGTGAAGAAATCTAGTTAGTGGGGACATAAAAGAAGGCCTTTTCAATGGCTGCAATTAATTTGTGGAGTTATGTCTGTAAAGAGTACAGATTGCCTCATTTTTGTTTGGTTTTGTGTGTATGCTTAAGGATTTCCTCTTTTCAGTGATTCAGTGATTTCAGATATGATTAGTTCTACTCTTTGATAATGATTATTTTTTTTGCTGTTGTTTTTTGGGAGGATATTTTAAACACCTTTAAACTGAATATTGTCTTGGGAGCTTTTTGGTGAAAAAGGGCAAGTCTTAAATAATTAATAAATTAATATAAAATGTTTGAAACATTTCAAATTTGGTTATTAGAAGGCCTTTTTTAACAAATTTCTCCAGATGCATTTATTTATTTAAATTTATATGCTACTCTAAGCCAAACAATGCTATAAGCAGCTAATGATCCAGAGTTAGTAATCTCCTCATTTTTCACCTATTCATTCTTAATTGGGAGAGATAGCCTTTCAATTGTAAGGATGGTATATTCTCATGAGGATGATACAATATAGGGAGATTTCCTTCCTCTTATTTCCATGAGATGCATTTTAGCTCATTGTAACTCTTGACAGTGCTGGGAATATTGCTAGTCCCTGACAAGTAGTATGACTTAATTTACTCTCCATTTAGCTCATTACTAAATCAATTAAATAAATTACATTAGGATAGCTTTTTCACATAGACCGATGTATGTATTAGGAAGTTTCATGGCATAGTTGTTATTTTAAAATTTGTTTCATTGAATCACTCTGATTCAAACAGTACATTTCAACAGTATATTAAGTTGCGATCAGTTTTGGAAACGAGATTACTTGAATGCAAGATAGTGTTTATTATGTTTTATTTAAGAGCTTGGCCTTGAGCTGTTCTTGAGTTGAAATGAACAGGCTTCTCCTGATGCATGTTGACAAAAACAGTTTTCTGATTGATAATAAGAATGTATTTCTTTCTACACATTGCTTATTTTACCTTCTCAGAATAGTCTGAATAGTGCTATTGCAAAACATATGTATTGATTAATGTTGAAAGGTTAAGCAATACTATCTCATTTAAAACTTGAGGAACAAGCTAATTGGCTGTAGAACAAATCTGTAAGTGTAAGTAATTCGGTAAATTAGATGCTTAAGAACAAAATAACTAATGCCAGAATTATTTTATCAATTTATTTCCAAATAAACTGTCTTTAGAATGAATTTATAAGATTTATGCTGAACACCAGACCAATGTAGCAGAATGGGATAACTAACTGAAGGATTCTATACGTAACAGTGTGATTCCATAGCATAATATATGATCTATGAAAAAAAATGTTATTTTTTTTATTAGTCATATTTCTATGCCGCCCACTCTCCGAGGACTCTGGGCGGCTTACACAAAGACAGTATACTAAATAGCATATTGCCCCTAACAATCTGGGTCCTTGATTGTTCATTGAGGATCTTTTGTTTTTTCTTTTTCCAAATGTGAATTTTCAGTCTTGTGATTGCTGTTACATACTGTCCTAAACTCCTGTCCATAGCTTGAGGGACTATCTAGTTAACTGTATTTTTGCGCTAGGATGAATTGGATTGTGTATTAGCTGGCTTGCTGAACTGAAATTGTTATTGCAGCGGAGACCTTTGTTCAGCTTCAGAATCAAATATATTTCTGCTACAGTATAAGTGCTATGAAAATGTTTTTATGAATCCGTAGTTAATTTCTGATTTGATTATTGTTAGTTATCCATAGTATGCTATAAGCAAATCTATTCATCTCCCCCCCCCTTTATCTTAACAATATATATAAACAAAGGAAAGAGAAGAGATTAGCCAATACTCTTCTCTACAACTCAGAGGAGTTCCTTGATTACCTAACACAAACCTTAGGCATGCAGGATACAGTGAAAAGAAAATGAATGGCATTTATACTGAAGCCAAATATACTGAAGGCTCTGAGGGCTGGAAGTATTCCAGACTAAAATGGGGCAGCTTGCACTGTTGACATGCTTTCAGGTGAAAGAGTTATATCTGTGAGTGACAGCTTCTCAGTTGACTATCTAGGACCAAAAGTTTTGGATTGTGTGTACAGCGTGATTCTGTGCAGACTGCTTTGAAAGTAAATACAGGTAATCCTCCAGTTACAACAATTCATTTAATCATCGTTCAAAGTTACAATGGCGCTGAAACAAGTGACTTATAACCATTTCTCACAGTTACAACCTTTGTAGCATCCCCATGATCATGTGATTAAAATTCAGATGCTTGGCAACTGGTTCATACTTGGAACCGTTGCTGTATCCTGGAGTCACGTGATCTCCTTTTGCGATCTTCTGACAAGCAAAGTCAATGGGGAAGCCTGATTCACTTAACCACCAAGTTATTAACTGATCAACTGCAATTATTCACTTAACAACTGTGGCAGGAAAGGTCGTAAAATGAGTCAGAACTCGCTTAACAAATGTCTCAATTAACAACAGAAATTTTGGGCTCAGTTGTGGTCGTAAGTCGAGGATTACATGTACCACTGAATGACATTCATCTTATTGCTAAACAAATAGTTGTAAGCGCTTGCCTAAAATAGATTGCCAAAAATAATGAAACTAATTATGACTATGCGCCATCAACTTCTGCGACGATGTACTGGTAGATCCCTTTTCTCCAGGATGATTGTTCCCAATCTGGTCTTTCTAACCTTCCAACAGCGTACACATTGCTGCTGTAATTGAGTTCTCTTGCTTGCCCTCTTGTTCATGTTCATTCTGCCTTTCCCAGATTTAGAGAGAGACAAGAAAATTAGGTCTCTGCCTAATGTGTCCAAATATGATAATTTGAGCCTGTTCATTTGTGCCTCAAGTCAGAACCCTGGGTTGATTTGTTTAATGATTCATCTGTTTGTTTTGTTGACTTCACCGCAGTTTCAAAACATCAATACTGTTTCTTCAAAGTCCAACTTTCATAGAGTGTCCCACGCAAAACCTCTGCCTGCACAGTTCTAATCTTTATAGGTATAGACCTAGGTCAGCTACACTGTGTATAATATATCACATCAAAAAAGTAACTCCAAAGCATGGTTAAAAGTACTTTATTATATTGCCAATAGTAACAAAATCTCTGTGCTTTATTTCTGCAATCCCCAATCCCCTGCAGTGCTGTGAAACGGAGGAGGTTTTGTTAGAGTTGTTTCCTTCTTTCTTCAGATTGTTATGGACTTGAGCTTTTTGCCTCATTCCATTAGGAACAGATCAGGATTGAACGGTTTGAAGATTGAAGATCAAGTATGGTTGAGCCAGTACAGGAACTGGCTTTGTCTAGTTTAATGAGAAGAAGAACTAGGGGAGACATGATAGCAATGTTCCAAATATCTCAGGGGCTGCCACAAAGAAGAGGGTGTCAAGCTATTCTCCAAAGCACCTGAAGGCAGGACAAGAAGCAATGGGTGGAAACTAATCAAGGAGAGAAGCAGCCTAGAACTAAGGAGAAATTTCCTGACAGTTAGAACAATTAATCAGTGGAACAACTTGCCTCCAGAAGTTGTGAGTACTCCAACACTGGAAGTTTTTAAGAAGAGATTGGATAACCATTTGTCTGAAGTGGTGTAGGGTTTCCTGCCTAAGCAAGGGCTGGACTAGAAGACCTCCAAAGTACCTTCCAA